CCACCTCGGCACTGCAGGCCACACACCGGAGCCCTGCAGTGCACTGAGAGCCCGAGGGCCCGTGTAGGACATTTGGGGTCCTCGGAGGGTACGGGGCAGGGGGTTCATTTTAGGGAGAAAAGGACATTTGCACAAAGACCCTGTCAGTTATTTGCTCAGTGATTTGCTCACCACTTGAACAACACAGTGAAAGGAGGCATCACAGACGCGGCAGCACGCCAGCCTTGTGGCGCTCGGGCCACGGCCCCACCAGCGCCTGCAGCGGGATGCTGCATGGACTGTGCCGGTGGGCATCGTCCCCCCACTCCTCCTCCGCGCTCCACCAGTGCCCCACACCCACTCCCCACCACCCCATCACTTCCATCCACGGCTGACACTCAGCAGGCGCCAGTCGTCGGTGTCGGCACATCCTGTCACAGACCATGCCTTCGTTTCTGGTGGCATAAAAAAGCAAAGCAAAGTAGCCAGAGACCTTTCAGAGGGTCTTCACACAGAAAAAGGGAAGCTCTAAAATAAAGCGATCGAGGCACCCAGGCCCCGCTTTACGCTGGTGAGGCAGAGAGGGGAAGCGTGCCGGGGCAGAGCACAGGGGCTGGGGAAGGAGCTGGGTGCGCTCTTCTCCTCGCCCTCGCGCTTCAAGCTGTTTTTATCACCGCCTCCGTATCTCTATCCGTATCTCTCTTGTGGTTTTGGTCTGTACAGCCCAACACTTGGCCATGATGGGCTGGCGGCAAGGGCAGGACTTCCCCAGCTCAGCTCAGGAAACCACCAGCTGATGAGGTTCACGGAGCTGATTAGGCTCCGGCTTTATAAGCTTTATTAGGACACCTCTGGGAGGGGAAAATGAAGACGTAGCTTGAGGCTTGTGAGGGCCAGGGGTCTCGGGCCGTCCTTCCCTCCTCTGTCTCCTTTGATGCCATTGTTCATTACAAAACCGGAAAAAGGAGGAGGCAGAGCACTCTCTCCCGCGGATTACAGGGAAAACGGAGCGGTGCAGGCACCCACCCCACAGGCAGGAGCCACGCTGTGCCCAGCAGCAGCCGGCAGCACGTGGCAGACGTTTCTGGTGCCACTGGCATGGCAAATATGGTGGGTCACCAGGTCCCAGCGGTGAACATAAACCCATGCGTCTCTGCAGCATGCTCTTCGCTCCAAACAAAGACCTCAAGTGCCAGTGCCCGCCTGAACGGGGATTTCCATATTTCCTATCTGTAGCGGCTCCCAAAGCCTGGGCCAGGCGCTGTGCCAGCGCCTCGCTGCCCACTCCCTTGCAACCCACTACCATGCCCAAGCCTTGCACCGGAGCCTCCCACCACCCGCTCCGGGAGCCCATGGGCTGAGATCATCAGCACGGCCCTCACCTGCCTGCTCTCCCCAACTCGCCAGACCCGGCCTTGCCACACTTCATCACGGGGCATGAAAGCGGCACCGAGCGACAGACAGCTCTCCTCCTCTCTCCCTCTCTGGGCTGGCTCAAAGGGGAGAAACATGGGCTCAGGTGTTGCTTTCATGCGGTTACAGACAACAGGAAACACTCAGGCATGCAAGACATGTGTCCTGGGTCCAGCGAGCAGCTCCTTGAAGCCCGACGGACTCCCGTCACAGCTCTTTACAGGGGAGAGGGGTGGGGAAGGGGAGGAGGGGATGTGGTCCGGAGCTGGGCAGCAGCAGGCGCTGGCAAGCAGAGGTGCGGAGGAGAGCAGCGGCAGGTACACGTACAACTGAGAGGCTGATGTCTGACCTGTTCATATTTCTCCAGCTCTGTGTGATAGATTTGTCTGATCTGGGTCAATTTGGCTCTGTAATCTGAGTGTTCAATAGAGTTATCTGAAGACCCTCCAGAGGCTGGGGCGGCGTCGGCAGCGC